CTGGCCCAGGAAAGACCAAGATTCCAAAGTCGAAGCATAGTCTCTGCTGAGCACACATGGCTTTGGCCCCATCACAAAGTCCAAAAATCGTACGCCAGTTGAACCATGCAAGTTGACAGACCATCTGTACTGGCTCTTGTGTTTAGAAAGTACTTCTCCTTCCCCACATCAAATATTTCCTTTTAGCTTTCTGTGACTGCAGCGCCCAAGAGGTCCTGGCCTGGCTGAGGAAGTTGGATCTCTTCATCCTCAGCTGGTCCCGTCTGCAGGTCTTGCCAACATCCCAGATCCTGGGAACCTGCACTTGACCCACAGGGCCGTTCTGTGACAACAGGAATTGTCTCTCAAATAGAATGATCCATTTTTGCAAGCAGACTGCTATCTTCAATCTCTTTGGGATTCTGAGGGCCTAATCTGGTGCTAAGAACCAGCGGGAGTAACAACGGAGGGAGGCAGGGATGGACACTCCACCTGTGGGTACTCCACCTGTTCCCCTCAATAAAGTCGTCTGATGATTTCACTCCCATATCCCCCAAAATTTCCTTTTAATTTGCATATGTGCTTCTGTCTCCCCCCCACTTGCATTTACCTCTTTAGTCCCTCTGGAAGCGACAGTGAGAGGCTAACCCCACGTACCATGTGTAACTCAGCCCTCCACCGTCCCCGCTGTCTGTCTGCATCCCCACGGGCAGCCTCCACTTGCCCCAGCCAGCCTGCGGGAGGAAGCACTCCCAGGGCCCCCGCAGCGCCTGGAGCAAACGGGGCAGGGCCGTGATGCGGAGGAGTCTGTGGCTCACCTTGGAGGTGTGGATGCAACAGACTGGAACACTCTCCACGGACATCATCGTCCTGTTCTCCCGAGTCCCATCCTCCACCCAGGGAGGCCCGGCCCGACCTTCCCCCTTTGCAAAGGCTGCCCGCCTGGCCTCCTGCTCCCCTCCAGCTCTTGCATTTCCCAGAACTTCACAGTCCTCGGCCCTCACTCCTGCAGAACCAGGGGCCCTGCTGCAGCCCCTGCCAGAGCCAACCCCTCCCAGACAAAGGCCCTCGTGACAGCTTCCACCCTCCTTAGAAAGCAGGTGGCAACATCCTTGGTAACTTGAGAATGCCTTTGGGGTCTCAGCCACATCCCATGGGGCTCATTAACGGCTCCTTCCAAACATATCCAGTGTCTGTTCCCAGTGCAATTCCCGCACCATCTGCAGCCAGGCTTCTCCACCTCCTCAGTTTCTGGAACATTCGGGAAGTGGGAGCCCTGGGGAAACTTAGAATCAGGAGCCCCCAGAGGGCAGATATTCAGAGAGGCTGCCGAGAGCGGGGCTAGAGCACCCCTTGGGACAGCCAGGCCTGGGACTCAGGCTCCCAGGGCCCTTCCCAGGTGCCCCAAGGTGGCTTCTGTAGCAGGCAGGGGCCATGTGCACTGCCCTCCTTGAGGCGGGTGTGGCCGTGGGGCTGTGCAGGCAGGGACCTCGGAGCCCTGTTAAGGTCCAGGCCCACATGCCCAGGGGCAGATCCCCATGGCCACCCTCCAGCGGCAGCAGCTAGAGCTGGGTCCATGGTAAACAGGGGAGGGTCCTTCCTGCCCTTTCAGCTTCTGGTGGTTCCGGGAGTTCCTCAGCTTGTGGCCGCATCGCTACACGCTCTGCCCGTCTCCACTCGGCCACCTTCCCTACACTGTCTTCTCCCTTCTTCTCCCTCCCCTTTCTCATTAAGACACTGGTCACTGGATTTAGGGCACACCCTAACTCAGGATGATTTCGTCTCAATGTCCTCAATTCTGGCTGCAAAGACCCTTTTTCCACATAAGGTTACATTCATAGGTTCCAGGGGTTAGCATATAGATTTACCTTTCTATCCACTTTAGGTACCAGTTGACTAGACTGGTCTGCCAGTTCTCTGCTCGTCAGTGTAGACTCTGGAGCCCTGCTTCTGCCCTGACCGGCCCCACCCTGGGGTCTGTTTGCTTGTCTGCAAGATGGGGCAAAGGGTGTCGGATCTCTCAGTGTCCCCCTGGTTATGGGTGTCACTGCGGGCAGACGCTCTCTCCAACAGAATCTCGGGCTCATTTTGTTGTTGTTGTTCAAAAAGAAGCCTTGAAATGGCAAATCATCCGTGAGCTTCTGACAGCAGGCAGCCCGTTCAGAAAAGACAGCTCACCTTCATCACCGTCACTGTCACCATCATGGCCACACTGTCCAACATGCCTCAGGGCACTGAGACATCTGTCCCGGTAGTGTTTGGTTTTCCCAAACAACGATCAGCCCCCCAGTTCTACGACACCATTGGCAAACCGCCAATTCCTGCATGTGTTTGGGGGCGGGGGACACAGCCCTGATTTGTAGCTGTTTCCCATGGTGTAAATGACCCCACGAAGGTGACATCACTGACCACAAAGTTGGGAACAGAGGTGCACAGTCGCCTGGTACGCAGACAGCTGTGTGGGTTTCGGGGGTCCCCTGGGCGTTCGCAGTGTGTCCGAGGTTCCGAGAAGGCAGCTGCATCCACCGGCTTCTGTCCCTGACTCCAACAGCAACGCCAGGAGCCCGCAGCTTCCTTCCATGGCACATCACGCTCGCTGCAAGCTGCACGGCCGCGCTCCAATCCACGCTCTGTCCTCCCCACGGCACCGGCTCACCGCCACCTTCGGAAACTCGGGCTCTCCCGTTCTCTCCTCCTCAGCCACACACTCCACCCACGGGACCACACTTCGCCCAGCGTTTCTGTGTGCGCTGGGCCATCGGCTTCCCGCTCCACTCAGGCCACCACATTGCTCAGGGCGACTTTTATTTGTTTAGTTTCGCTTGTATGTACTTTCTCACTTTGTGAACGATAATCAAAATCTCTTGCGGACATTTTGCTTTATTTCCTGCCAGGCTTTTCCCCAGCAAATGGCCTTTTCCGTGTCTGTGCTCGTCACTCACTAGATCTCGTCTGAGTTTCCCACCCAGCACCCCGTTTGCCTTTGGGGGGACTGCTCCGCTACCATTTGCGGGCCTTACGTTTCGGTGGGCTGTCCCCACGTCCCCACTCCAGGGGTGTTTGTGTGACCCAGGCCTGGCCAGTCAGGATGCTGTAGGGGCTGCTTCAGAGACAGGCCAGGAGCGAGTAAGACTCAGGCCTGAGGTTCGCTGTCCCTCGGAGGACCAGGGGCTCTACCCTGGCCTGGCACTGTCAGGATGTCCCCCGGAGCTGCTGGCAGCCTCGGCTTGGGGAAACCTTCCTGGCAATCCAGACATCCGTGAGAAAGCTGAGCCGGGAGAAGGCTGGACCCACAGCAAGATTGAGCACCTGCTGGGTGGGACCTGTCCTCTGCACTTCACAAGTTTCTGCGAACCAAGACATTTCTTTACTTTTATTATTTTTGTAGAAGCCAATTTGATCTGAGTTTCTATTACTTCTAACCAAAAGGGTATTGGCAAATACACATAGCATGCATAAAATACTGTATCCTGCTTTTCAAAGTAAAATTACAACAATATTTTGTGTTCCCCTGTTTCTATGTAGGCTTTCTACAGATGCATGATAACTCCATAAACCGAGTTTACCCTAAAATTAGAGTATTTATTTATTTAATAGGAGAGTCATTCTCCCTAAGAGAAAAGAGTTGAAAAGAAATCAAAGGCAAATTATTTGAGGCTAATTTCCTCTTATGAGCACTACTTAATAAAGGTAGAAAACTTTACAACTAAATTTTGGGAGGAAAAACTCACACATATTTTATTTCGTTTTTTGTACACAGTTATATACAAAATAAAATATATAGTCCACATAACAACCGAATAAAAAATTTGTTCTACACTGATATTATTAAATATCTATAAGTAAACAATACTTTTTTTTTTTCCGTCCCCCAATTTTAATAATCCTCTCTGTTTTTGACATCAGTTTCTCTTCATTCCTCTCTATCCTTCCTTGGCACAGACTTTTTTTTTTTTTTTAGAGACAGGGTCTCAGTGTGTTGCCCAGGCTAGAGCACAGCAGCACGGACGGCCATAGCTCACTGCTAGCTCTGGCCAGAGCACGGCCGCATGTCCTTACCTGCCTGCAAGGGAGGCCGGGAATGTGTCCTCACCGTGCCAGTCACTCAGTAGGTTTCATGTCCCGCCTGCGAACTACAGAGTGCTGGGGAGCTTGAGTTCCAAAGCCCGACAGCATTCAAATCCTGGATTCTGTGCTTATTCTGAGCCCTCTGAGGCTCAGCTTCCCCATGTGTGACGTGAGTATTCTGATAGATCCGCACCCAGCTGGAGACCAGGGGTCCCTGGGAGGATGCTTAGCTCCTTCTCTCGCCCATGAGAAGCAGTCACTAAGTGTTAGCTCATAACCCCTGGAGAAGCACAGACACAACAGACTGGAACCTTCCACTCCAATCACCTTCTTAACAAGGACCATAAGCGCACGTAGGTTTATCTGGTCTACGCCATTCCAAGGAATACTCAAGGGGTTTGTGGATTTTTTGTTCTCTGCCCTCCCAGCCCGGTGGAGGAGGGAGAAGATGGAGATTATCTGTCCTATGTCAAAAGGGCTAACCCCACAGCCAAAGACGATCAGGGCTAGCCCAGGCCATTGGCCTTTGCTTATTCCTACTGGCCACTGCTAGAAATCTAGATTCCCTGCAGAAAAACTGGCCAAATCGGGGTCCTGACGCACTGGTGCAGAGAGAGAGGTGCCAGGAGGGGTTCCTTCCAGACAACGGTTCTTGGTCAACATCTGCACCCCCTTCTCATTCATCAAAGTCACAGCCATCATGACTCCCCACGACCCTATGGCTGCACCTGCACCTGTACACACCTCCACCTTTTCCCAAGACATGTCTTTCTTTCCCTATGGACCTGCGAACCCAGCGACAGACTGTCCTGTACCCTCAGCCCACCTACACGGCCACTCCAGATGCTCAGGACCTTGCTCTGCAGGTGCCTGTGACATCACCAGCTGTCAACATCCCCCTGTGACCTCACCACCTGGACAACCCAGCCCAGCTGGGCTGTGGCCACTCCGTCGAACCACCACAAGTAGCAAAGGGCATAGATGACCACCGAGCCCTCGGGAGAGGACGGAGCCGCCATCAACCCCACACATGGCTCTCCCGAGGCCTCCCCATCCAACAGCGGGTTTACGGACAGCCCAGTAGGGAGGTCCCAAGGGCAGGCCCCCCTCCCTGCAGATGTCCCGGCGGCGGAGGCGGCGGCGGCGGCGGCAGTGGCGGACAGCCCTGCGACATCCGCTGAACAGGATGCAGCCCAGGACTCCTTCAAGACACCTACCCCCCAGCCCGAGTCAACACCTGGGGACAGAGACCAGGATGCAGCTGCTCCCAGTGCCGGGCAGGAGACAACGGAAGAGGTCACAGTTTTGTTGCCCGGGCGAGACTCAGGCACCCTGCAAATGTCCGTGAGCCTCCAGGACCAGTCGTATGACCGGCCGGTTCAAGAGGCAAGGGAAACACAGAGTCTGGGGGCTTTCCCAAGGCAATCCCCGAATGGGGACAAGACACCACAAGTGAAGAGTATTTCCAATGACGAGCTGGAATCAGCTGCCCCCGGCCCCCAAGCTGAGGTGCAGCCCACCCAGGACGCAGAGCTTCCGCCCACCACGAATGACGCTGATAAGTCCCCTGTAGGTGCCCAGAGTCCCCCTCAGGCCACTAGCGCCGAGGCCATCGAGGAGACAGCTGAGGGTCCAAAGGCCTTAGGCCCCGACACCGAAGCTTTGCCGTCAGACGAGCCCCAAGTGGTCACGTGGGAGGACGTGGAGGACGGCTCGAGAGAGCCGCAGACTCCAGCTTACTCTCTCTCCCCAGAAGGTAGCCTCCCCCTGGTGCCCGGCCCCGAGACGGCCCCGGGGCGGAGGCCCCTGGACCCCAACCTGTACATGGCCGACGAGGAGAACAACTACATGCGCTCCATGACCAGCCTGCTGGGCGGGGGCGAGGGCTCCATCAGCTCCCTGGCGGACATCCTGGTGTGGTCCGAGACCATGGGCATGGGCACGGCCATGGGCTTCCTGGCCTCCGACCACAGCACCGTGGCGGACGTGCTGCACAGCACGGGGCCCGTCCTGCGCTCTGTCTCCAGCATCCTGGGCAGCGCCAGCTCGGCCTTCTCCTCCGGGCTGGCGTCAGGGACCGGCTCCGCCCTGCGCTCCGTCACCCAGGTGCTAGAGACCGTGGAGCGGAGGACCGCGGAGGGCATCCGCTCGGCCGTGCGCTACCTGACCAGTCACCTCACCCCACGCCGGTCCCATGCTGGCCCCAGCTGTGATTAGACCCCCACACAGGGACCCCCGAAGGACAGACTCAGCAGCCTCCAGAGACCCCGGGGCGCTCAGGCCCTTGCACCCCTGCCCTGGATGGCTCCCCCAGCCCGAGCAATAAATCACCAGCGAGCGTTTATTTCCTAAGCGCCAGCCTCCTCCCTTGTCCGTGCGGTGAGCACCGGGGTGAGAGGACCGGACGGTCGGGGTGTTGTGGAGACTAAGTGTGCCATGAGGGCTTCTGGGTGGTCCCATTCAGCCGGAGAGGGTGGGGAGCTAGAGAGCAGCGCCCCCCCCCAGGACCAATGCAGGTCCCACCCCTGGCGCCGGCGCTGACCCGGGCAAGTCACTTCACTCCGAGCCTCACTCAGATGCAGAACGGAGAACAGACCCACACCGCGACGTTCAGACGTCAGGGCAACACCACGGCCACACGCACAGCACCTGCACTTAAACCCACACACTTCGGCTGCCGTTATGATCCTCCAGTGGGCTGGGGACACCAGGGGAGCAGGGATCCAGGTAGGGTGACCAACTGTCTGGTTTGCCTCGGACTAAGGGGGTTTTAGGCTGTGGGACTTTCAGATTTAAAACTGGAAAACCCCAGGCAAACCAGGGTGAGTTGCTCACCCGAGACCCGGTCTCTTTCCTGGCATCTGCCCCGTCGGCGACGGTGTGCGCTATGAAGGCACTAGCACGGCAGGCCCTGATTGCAGCCGCCGGACAGCCACCTGCTCCAGAAGCCCCAGCCCACCCTCTGGCCACGGTGCCACAGCTGGTGGTGAGAGTGGCGCTCACGTACCCCTTACTCACTCCTGGCAGCCTCCAAATGGGAGCCCTGGGAGTGAACTATTTGTTCGACCTATGTTATGTTTCTCAAATTGTAGATTAATTGCTAACATTTTAAAAACAGATTTTACAGAAAAATCTGGATTTCTGCTTCCCTGGAAAAATCTAGGGCCCTCATTTCTTCCGGGTGCTTTAGGGCGCACATGGTGCTGTTCACCACAGCCTACCTGCCCGTGTCAGCGACTGATGTCACCAGCATGGCCCCTAGAGGCACGTGTTTGCTGCCCCACCCTGCAGACGGCTTGCATGAGGAAGAGTGATGCCAGGGCCCAAGGGGGTGCACAGATGGACCAGGTGTGTGTGCCCCCTTCCTGCCAGGAGCTGCCACTCTCTGTAGATGCAATATAAACTGTCCCCATGTCGTGAATACAAAGAATTCAGAAGAGCGAGATTGTCTATGTAGAGCCTGGTATTCGGGGGACTTCCAGAGAAGCAATCAAGTCAGACCTTAAAAGGGAGGCGAGACAGTGCCTCCCAGACAGAGGCAATGGGGACAACAGCAGAGATAGGTGGCGGTGCGGGTGGAGCCAGCAGCTCTGTTTGACTGGAGCCCACAGCAGAGGGCCATTGACCCACCGGGGGAGACCCCAAAATGTGCTCATTCTCAGAATGGACAGAATCTTAGAAGGGACAGAAACCAAACTCACACCAGATCAAGAGAATGAGCTGACTAGGGCAACTGCCACGTACTGGCAGGGCTGGGTCCAGGTTCCCCACTGGCCCAGGGCACCTCTGGGCTGGCTCCCTCCACCCTTGGGTGGCTCAGCCACCCTGGCAGCAAGGGAGAAACTTGTTCCCACTGGCTCTGTCAGGAAAGTCCCAGGAAGGACACTGCCAGGCCGCCCTCCCCGGAACCAATTACCAAGGCCACAGGAACCAAGCACTTGGTCACCTGGCCTGGGGGCAGGGTCAGCCCACAAGTGTGGGCCTTGTGCAGGAAGGGCTGCCAGACTGTGGCAGGCAATGGCCCAGGCTGCCTTGAATCCTGGCTCTGCCTCCCACGAGCTGTCACCTTCGTCTCCTGGGCCTGTTTCCTCATCTGCAAAGGGATGATACCAGAACCTTCCACCCAGGGCTGAGGAGTCGATGAGCTCATGACTCAGATGCCTGGCATGCAGCTGAGTGCCACGTGTTAGCAAGTGTCGTGACTGTCACTGCAGGACAGTCCTGTGCAGCTATGTGGCAAGGGCACCTGTGACTTTACTGTAAGGGGAGTGAAGAGCTGGGGTGGCAGCAACTTGAGGCGCGCCTTCACTGCTGGAGAAGGACAAAGGCCTGGGGGTGTGGCACCGGGGGCGTGCAGGAGGGGTGACAGGGCCACTCTATGGAGGGGTGGCCCAGACCTGTGGCACTCAGGGCTGGAGAGTGAGGGCTAGCAAAGCAACAGAGGGGAGAGGAGACATCACAGGTGACCAGTGAGATTGAGGGGATCGGAAAACAACAGGATTCCTTGGTGGTCTGGGCCTGGGCAGTTAGGAGACTGGAAGCGTCACCAACAGGCAGTGGAACATGAGAAGGGTCAGTGGAGGCCAATGGGAAGGATCAGACAATGTATTTGCTGTTGGAAATGTTGAATTTGAATCTGGGTCCCTTGACTCATCTGTTGGCCCTTGATATGCAAAGTAGCAAGCCAGCCCACCTTTCACCACCAAAGGGTTTGTGGGGGCTCAAGTTAACAGCCGGAAGTCACAACTACTCAACAAAGACACAGCTCATGCCCAGCACAGGGACAAATTGTCAAGTCCAGGCTGGAACCACATGACTGTGCTTGTGTTAGATTCTGCAGGGCCAAGCTCCTGTTCCCCAGGAGGCCGTGGCAGCTGCACCCCACGGGTGGCTTTGAGCCTCTGGGCCCCCACCATTGGCTGACTCCATGCGTGTGTGTGGCCTCCAGCCAGTCTGGAGCCAGTAGGACTGACCCAGCTTGCTCCCCTCCTCTGCTGTGGTAGCAAACCCTCCCCGCAACACGTTCTTCCCAGTGGTGCGCCCCCCAGGCACCCAGATGCTAGGTCACCTAGCATCTGGGGAGAAGGTCAGGGCTGCACACTCAGGGCTGGGGTGTCCAACACAGAAATAGGTACAGCCTAACTCAGGACAAGGTGGCTGAGGGAGAAATCATAGAGAAAGGACAGGCCCCAAGACAGGAGCCTGGGGAAAGGCCCACCCCACAGGCAAGAGCAGAGGAGGAAGCAGTTCCTAAAACACAGGAGCGGTCAGCAAGCAGAAGCCAGCCAGCCCCTCCCGGGGACGTGGGCTTAAAGGTGGCATCACCCCAAATATGCCACTCTGGCACAAGGATAATTTGAGCTGAAGGCAACTGAGAAAAAGCGGACACAGGGTGAACTTTCTGCCTGGAAGGCAGGGTATACACCCCCCTTGTGAAGCTTCTCCTTGTCCACGCCAGGAAGGGGAGAACAGCCTCATCCCCGGAGACAGAGGGCTCTGTGGGGTCTACACAGAGGAGCCTTATTAATAACCCTTACCCACCATCAGCATCCCCCACATCTACCTTCCCACAGTGTACTGCAGCCCAGCCCAGAAACCCCTTTCCCTTTGTCCTCTCTTCTCTACTAACTTGTCATCCCGTGCTAGAATGGTCTAAAAGCTAAGCCTAGCCATTTCTTTAGGGGTTTTCTCCCTCTACACCAAGCCACATAAAACTTTTTTGAGACAGAGTCTCACTCTGTTGCCCAGGCTAGAATGTCATTGCATTAGCCTAGCTCACAGCAACCTCAAACTCCTGGGCTCAAGCAATCCTCCTGCCTCAGCCTCCCAAGTAGCTGGGACTACAGGCATGTGCCACCATGCCCGGCTAATTTTTTCTATATATATTAGTTGGCCAATTTATTTCTTTCTATTTTTAATGGAGACGGGGTCTCACTCTTGCTCAGGCTGGTATTGAACTCCTGACCTTGAGAAATCCTCCCACTTCGGCCTCCCAGAGTGCTAGGATGACAGGCATGAGCCACCTCGCAGGCCCTAAAACTTTTAACATTGAATTTAAATGTCAGTTTAGTTGACAGGCCCAGCCACTGACCCTGAGGCTAAAAGTGTTCTTCCTCCCCTACCAAGGCCCCTCACAGCCCACCGTGTTAGATGGATGAAAACCGGGTAAGCAGGAGCACGCTGGGGAAGGCAGTTGACAGACAGGGGATGGAGAACACACAGTGGTCAGGACAGTGGGGCGGCTGTGTGTAGGGGACTCTTCGGTGTTGAGAACTAAGGTCTGACAGTCATAAACTCACCACCAGAAAGTCTGGCACTTCCTCACTCAGCAAATCACCCGCCCACTGCCTTCTCCGTTATACGTTAGGTGGGCGTCTAACCACCACCTTTTTGATGTGTGCTCTGCCAGGAGACTCTGGCCAGTAAGCAGCGTCCTGCTTAAATAACCAATTAGGCTGAGCCAAGAGCCAGCAGGGCAGTGTCCTAACGTCTGAGCCCAGCAGGGGCTTGGCTAAAGGAAGTCCACCAAGTCCTGGCAGCCCTCAGAAGGGACACTGTGGACTCCATCCCATGGTGTGGTGGGCACTGTGTTGGGCTGTCCTGATCTCCTCCAGTGAAGGACTTGTTCCCACAGCTGCTGGGAGTGCTGTCAGTGGACAGCCCTCAGCACCAGCCCCGTCAGAGTGCCCCACCCAGGGCTGTGCCATCCTGTCCGCAGCAGCCCAATCCCCTGACTGCGCCCAACCTGGGGGAACTGGAGCACCAGAGCTCCGTGGGGCACGGCTGTCACTGGGCCTGCAGCACAGCCTCCACCTGTCCCCCTGCCCTCTCTGGCTTCATTCTCCTCCTCCTCACAGGGCACGACCCCAAATACACATCCTGTGCACAAAGCCTGTGTTCTGGGAGCCCCAAGATGCCACCATAGGCTGTTGATTTTTCCTGAGATGTGTACGTCCAAGTTTCTGCAGGAGACCCACATATTCGAACCATGGAAAAAGTTTAAAGATTTTTAAAAAAGTAATCTCTCTTTTTCGTAAGAAAGAAGTTTGGGGTCACTTTGACAATGGTAAAAATTGTAAAACTTTGCTGTTTTTACTTGCTTTATAAGGAAAATATCCTTATATTTGGTCTGTGGGCATGTGGCTAATTGGTTAAAATTACTGTGTGGCTGTGGTTCATGTTACAGGTGTGGGTGAGGTACAGTTTCTGTCAAGGAAAAGAGCGAGTCTGGAACAAAGCAGTCACCTGTAAGGGCAAGTCCCACGGAGGAAGTGACGGAGAGCAAGGGTAAGCTCAGAACTTATGCACACAGTATTTAAGTGAAACACGAGGAGCTGTCCAGACCAAGGGCATTCCTTAAGGCGACTGGATCTTGCTGACTACACCTGGGGATCTGAGGGACACTTGAGAGAAGGGGCAGTTCACAATATAACCTGAGATGCCACTGTTGAGCTGACCCAGGCTGGGAAAGTGTCCCTAGGAAGCTCTTGGCAACAAGGACGGGAGGACAGAGGGGCACAGACCCTTCCTTCACCTGAGGTCACTGCCAGAACCGAGCAGCAGGGCAATGCTGCTCTCTGGGACTCAGATGACAGCAGGCCCAGGTTGCAGGAAGGACCCAGCCACCGCAAAGGCCTTCGGGGATCGGGGCTGGCTTGAGGGAATCTCTGGACAGGCAGTAAGCACTGACCTTGCACCTGGAAGCAAATTGGCCCACCCTGTGGCACCCTAAAAAAGTGGACACTGTGACTTTAGTCTCCAAACCTCAGTTTCCTCATCTGCAAAATGGGTTTTCCATTTGTCTCACAGAGATGCTACGATCAGTAACACATACTTTAAACACAGCATTTAACAGCAGACATATGACAAATGTCAGTTTTCTTCCTTTGCTGGGGTTTTATGTTGTCTGTGCACTGGATAGGTGTCTCTTAACTGAAAGTTTTGGAAACTCAAGGTGTAGGAGCTCAGGCACAAACAGAGCTGGGTCAGGAAGGGCTAGGAAGAAGCTGGCTTTGGGGACGACTGGAGTCAGGACTCAATGCAGTCAGGACTGTCCCCATGGCCTATCTCATCTTCCTCCCATGGTGCCTCAGCCTCTCCTCCAGGCTTCTGCTCCTCACAGGAACACAGCTCCTGGAAGCTCCGGGCCCACAGGCTTGCAAGACCGGAGTAGAGAGGGCTCGGTTTCCCCTGTTCCACTCTATCAGTCAGCGGGGAAGACTGCTGGCCCAGCCCGGAACATGTGTAGAGGTCGGCCTCACCCACGCTCCTGGCACCTCTCAGAGCAGCCACTCTGCCCCACCCAAGCCACACTCCTTCCAGAAAGGGGAAGAGGGACTTGAGGCAGCCCGTTTCTCCTGGCTCCCCTAAGTCCCCCACTGCAGGTGGCACTGCCCTAACCTCAATCTCTGTTTCTGAAGGTTCCCCAGCAGATAAAAGCTGCTTTTCCCACAATAACAGGCCCGGACCCCAGATGGGGTCTGATGTTTGCCCGAGGCCACGCAGAGCCCACTCCTAGGCTCTGGGCCCTGGGGCATGCCCACCCACTACGCATGAGCTCATCTGTGAATGCTCTGCACACGGCCAGAACCTTCCTTTAACCACATGCTTTAGAAAGGGCCGAGGCATCCAGGTCTCTCAGTACCCCACCCCCACGCCCGTACCTCCACCGACTAAAAGCTATTCCTTTGCATCTCTGAATTTCAAATGTCAACCAAGGAGGAAACAGGATTCACCCCAGAATCTGGTTTTGCTACTAACCTATATTTTATTAGTACTTTTCAAAATGCAGTTTTTGGTGAGGAAAACACCTCCGACAGATGGGCTCCAACATACTGAGTCTGAACAAGACGAGCGAGGTCCTCAAACAAGAGATGGTTAGGGTTCCTCCAGCCACACATGGAGGTGGCGGGTTGCCTGCCCCTGCGTGAGGTCCTGGGCCTTTGTCGCCCAGCCGGGGCTTGCTGGCCTCAGCACTTCACATTCTGCTGTGGTGGGAACAGACAAACGGAGACAGGGACACCCGAAGAACAAGGCCCACATCCGAAACTTGGAGGTGGTCAGTGCAGGCCGTCCCGGTGACCCCGATGCAGCAGTGGAGCAAAACGTCACTCAGCACAAACGCCACGGGAGGGACAGGAGGGAGGAGGGTAACCAGGAAAGGGAGCAGAGTGGAGTGAGCAGGATCAGTGTCTCCTCCCCCGAGGCAGGTGGCCAAGCTCAGAGATTTCCTGGGCGACTAGGCGGAGGGGAATGAAAACGCCCCGTGCTGCCACCCGCTCCTGTTACCAGAGCAGGAACCCAGGTTGGGACGCTGTGAGAAAACAAGGCTGGAACAGAGAAGTTCAGATGGGGTGAGGGCGAACAAAGGCCTCTCTGTCAGAGAAATGTCCCTGGCGCAGGGTGTGCTGGGCCACAATGGGGCTTTCTTTGGCCATGGCAGCCCGGCCAGCCCAAGGGGCAAGGAGGGTGTCTGGGCTGCAGCAGGCCAGGCAGAGCCTTTTCCTGCCAGGGAAGAGCAGCTCCTGGCCAGAGCTGAGGCAAAGGGAGTGGGTAGACACCCAACGACCATCCCCATGGCAACCGTGACCATGGTGCCTGAAAGCTCTGTCTGGTTGCTATGCAATGACGCCCAGTGACGTCAGTCAATTGAATCTGGTTCCCAAGGCAACTGGCCAGGAACTATTTATGCGGAGGAGGAAAAGTGTTCCAGGCTGTGCCGCAGGCAGGGCCCCCCTTTCAGCCCTCTCTCCCCCCCCACTCCGGCCTGGGAGGCTCCTGGACCTCCGGGCTTTGTCCTGTTTCTAACCGCATTCCGGGGCAAACTGCCCGAAGGGGCCTCTGGACCCACACCGCCACCCTCGCTGGCACACAGTAGGCCTCAGGACAGCATTCTCATGGGACAGTGGGCATCTGCTGCCCTTTCAGAGCTGCCAGACGCCTCAGCACTCAGAATCCCTTGTCAGACTCTGACATCGAGCGCCTGGACGGACACCTGTCCTCGGTGCCCGGTGAGCAAATGAGCTACATAAGTTTTGGGCCGCAATGCTGAAATGAGAGGCCACTTGTTCAAAGTAATTTGAGGGACTGTGTAGGAAACAGGCCCCGGCCCTGCCCAACAAGGGTGAACTGCGAGAGCACAGAAGTGCCAAATACACAGGTAAACGGAAGCAGGAGACATCAGTCACAGAGGACAGAATATAAGGTTCCAACCTGGAGTGGAGAAAGGTGAGGAACAAGATAGGACAGGAACAGAAAGACCATCAGATGTACAAAGGTAAAGCAGTCACCTAACTTTGGGCCTGAGAGCTGGCCGGGGCCAGCCAGTCTCGGTGGCTCAGGACTCGGGGGTTGGGGACTTGGTCTTAAACGTAGGTGATGCAGTCTACCCTGGCCTCCCCCAGGCTCTTCCCTCCTGATAGTGTCCTGTCACTGCAGGGTACTATCCAGGTCCCTCACAATCTGTTTCCAAGGAGCCACCAGCTGCCCCATCCCAAGAGGCCAAGCACCAACATCCAGCCCAGCAGCCACAGCACACTCTGCCTGTCTGGCCGAGGAAGTACAGCGTCTCTCCTCAACAGCCAGTGGCCGCCGTCTGCACGCTCACCAGGCGAGTGGCATCTCTGGAAGAGCAGCCTCCAGCCTGGCTTTCCAGGGCAGTGACTCTCCAGTCAGATCCGAGGCTGGGAAAAGCATCCGGCCCAGGGGTGGGAGCCTCTCCATGGTGGAAGCTGCATTAACTTAGCTGTAATCAAACAAAGCCACAATCAACAAACTTCACTTAAATATACTTTAAAACATACATTATTTTATAAAAATGTACCATGTACTAAGTACCATGTACTTAGTAATTTGAAAAAATGAGAACTATTTGTTAATTTTAAAGTTAACTAACCTTTTAAAGACTTTGTTGTGTCTGCTTTTTGTTGGCAAGCATTTGAATATCTGGTTGCAGCATGGAGGTCCCCAGTTTCAGTTGATCCTCTAGAAGGGCATCAGTCATTTGTGACCTTCAGGGCGTCTTGGTTTGGGTTAGGTAGGAGAATGCAGATTTGAAGCAGTTAAGTGGTTGGAAAGCAAGAAAGCATTTTCAGCCATGTAGCTGAAGGTGTGGATTTTTCTACTGCATTTTTCCATATTTCAACTGGATCTTTCTTAGCCTCAATGACTTTATTTATTTTTTTTTTACTTAAAATGTCATCTACTGAGACCTCAATCAATTCCATCTGTAGTTCTTTAGGTGCCTTGGTGACATCAAGGTGAGGCTGAAATGCTAATTTGATATCATGATTCTCAAAGTCGGTGAACCTTTCACTGTATTCTCCAATTAACAGGTCTGTTACAGCTACGTATTCTTCAAATTATGCCCATATATCATCCCGCTCATCAATGACCTTTGCTAATTGGTGAAAATGCTCATCTGAAATTTCCTTCTAAAGAAGTGTTTTGAAAAAGGATAGTTTTTTTTTTTCAAGATACTTGGAATTTTTGCTACATATCATGTGTAGGCTTAGTTTTACCTTGCAAAGAAATATTCAAGTCATTTTGATTTGACATGATATCACAAAGAAATGTTGCATCCTATAGAAATCTTTTTTCAATAATTCACATTGCTGATTCTGTTCTTCACAAAATTTAACTATCTGTTCTCTCAGAGATAAAATTTGGCTAACACCTATCCCTGCAATAGCCAATGCACTTTAGAATACCACCGCAAATTTACACTGAATAGCTCATTGTTCAACTCTAGTATGTTATGAACTTGATGATGTCGTGTTACACTTACACAAATCTAGTTAACAATACTTATAATGTGCTGCAAAATGTCATTTAAAATAGTAGCTTTAGCAGAGATTTTGCTGATGTAAGATACGATGAAAAGAAATGAGAGCATCTGGATCTGTTAATACTTTTTTTTTATCTGTGCAATAAATCCTCATATTTTCCTATCACGGAAGATGCACCATTTGTACATACATTCACTAAATTTACCAAATTCAGTCCAATTTCATGACATTTATCTGGAAAGTTGCTGAAGATATCTATTCCCTGTGTTCTAATCCCAGCAGTGCCCAAAGTAAATAATTCTTCAGAGGAAAATCTTCTGTTTTGAGCTGAATAAAGTATAAAACCTGCACTGAGTCAGTAGTATCAGTTGATTCATCCAAGCGATTGAACAATATATATTTTCCTTTTGAAGTACCACATGAAGTTGTTCTATTAAGTCAAGGGCTAATTAATTCATGCTGCCAATCAGTTATGGTTCTCCTTGAAAGAGGCAGTTGTTTGTATTTAAACGTTATTGGGCTCTAAGCATCCTACAACGTCTTTGACAATGCATTCATTCACAATTTCTACATCACTGAATGGCTTCCCTTTTCACTGGAGTATATAAACTACTTTATAAGTTGCTTCAGTGGCATTATTTCCAGGTCTTATTGCTGCCTGATAGAACTGTCTTTGCAGCCAGGCATGGTGGCTCACGCCTGTAATCCTAGCACTCTGGGAGGCTGAGGCAGGCAGATCGTTTGAGCTCAAGAGTTCGAGACCAACCTGAGCAAGAGCAAGATACTACCTCTACTAAAAAAAAAATAGAAACTAGCTGGACAACTAAAAAATATGTATATATATATAAAAAAAATTAGACGGGCATGGTGGCACATGCCTGTAGTCCCAGCTACTTAGGAGGCGGAGGCAGGCAGATCGTTTGAGCTCAGCAGTTTAAGATCAACCTGAGCAAAAGCGAGACCCCATCTCTACTAAAAAAATAGAAAGAAACTAGCTGGATAACTAAAAAGTATATATATATGTAAAAAAAATTAGACGGGCATGGTGGCACATGCCTGTAGTCCCAGCTACTTGGGAGGCTGAGGCAGGAGGATTGCTTGAGCCCAGGAGTTTGAGGTTTCAGTGAGCTCTGATGACACCACTGTACTCTATCTACCCAGGGCTACAAAGCAAGACTCTGTCTCAAAAAAAAAAAATAAAAAAACTGTCCAGCTGTGCAACTATTCACAAATTCTACTTCAAATATTTTAGGTCATCATGTATGAAATGTCTGATTTCAAATCAAAAGTGTAGCTTATTATATTTCAAACAAGAAGCAGTAAAATTAATCAAAGTATGCACCTAAACTATCAACACAATTTTGCCATCTTGACGGTAGCTTGCTTATGCCAGCAGTGAAGAAGCCTGGAGAGCAAGTACCAATAAACTCTCGAAAGGCATTTTCCACAGCCTGTTGAGAACCGAATATTTTTCCTTCCAAGTATCGGTCCAAAGCCTGGAAAAAATGGTAGTCAGTTGGTGAAAGGTCTGGTGAATATGATGGATGACAGACAGTTTCCAAATCCAGCTCCTGTAGTTTGAGCAGCGTTCTTTGTGTGACATGTGGTCGAGCGTTGTCTTGCAAGAGGATTGGTCTGTCTCTATCGACCAATCTCGGCTGTTTAATCGAAAGCATCCTCATCATTTCATCCAACTGCTTGCAGTAGACATCTGCTGTAATCAACTGACCAGGTTTCATGAAGCTGTAATGGATAATACCAGCGCTGGACCACCAAACAGACACCATTAGCTTTTTTTGAGGATTATGCAGTTTTGGACTGTGTTTTGGCACTTCATCTTTATCCAACCATCGTGCTGAACGCTTGCGATTGTCAAAAAGAATCCATTTTTCATCACATGTAATAATACGATGTAGGAATGGCTCACCTTTATGTCGTGACAGCAAACAGAGGCAAGCTTCGAGACGATTTCTCTTCTGACGCTCACTTAATTCATGCGGAACCCATCTATTCAGCTTCTTTACCTTGCCAATTTGTTTCAAATGGTCCAGTATTGTTGGAATACTAACGTCAAACCTTGCTGCTAATTCACGTGTAGGTTGAGATGGATTTGCTTCCACTACAGCTTTCAGCTCATCATTATCTACTTTGGTCTCAGGTCGCCCACGTGGCTCATTTTCAAGATTAAAATCACCACAACGGAACTTCTCAAACCATCGACGTACTGTGCGTTCGTTGGCCACATCCTTCCCAAACACTTCATTTATATTTCGAGCTGTCTGTGAAGCATTGGTTCCATGACGGAACTCATATTCAAAAATAACACGAATTTTTGACTTATCCATGGTTTCACAAAAATTGCTCTAAAAAAAAAAAAAATTTGAAAGATAATCACAAGCCAAAACATGTGTTTGCAAGACTCAGGATGTACTTTCACAATAAAAATAAAACAAGAAGTGTCAAAGTGAAATGTCAGACGTTAACTCTCAAACTTAGTACTTAAGGAAATTGGACATTTCATACTTAATAACTATAGATACAGTATACGCTATCAAAAGCTGATAACAAACTGGAACACTCAACCCCCATAAACTCTCACCAAACAGCCACATGTAGTAGTGGTGCAGTCAGACAGAGGAACTTAGAACTAAATCATGAGTGTAGCAGCTGTCAAGTTAGCCCTTATGGCTTACTAATGTTCTAATTGTGCCAGTCAATCTAGTAGGATTATTTTGTTGAAATTTATATTATTCTTTGGTATTTTAAATGCATTCATTTTAAAAATAAAATAAAAATCTAAAAGATGGACAAAAATTTATTAATAAAAATGAAAGGATTTGTTCTGTAAAATTAGGATTCAGTCAAAAGGCTGCACTCAAGGACCAAGAGGGCCACATGTAGCCTTAAGGTTCCCCATCCCTGAGTCAGACCCTACCTCATCATCTTCAGCTGCCCGTTTGCCTGTGGCAGCCTCAGCTTCCTCATCTTCATCTCCATCCTCTTCTTCACCTGGAGAGAATCAAGGACCAGGTAAACACCACACTGCCCTCCTACTGGGGCTCCCTGGGGACTCTCCCAGGAACAGATATGTCAGGGTGGATTGTCCCTGGACTTGCCTCTGCTGCCCCCCAAACTGCACAGGTCAGGCACCCACACCCACCCATGTACTTGTCACAGTGCCAGGGCCCAAGTGGCCGCATGGGCAGAGGCCAGCCCAGCAGATAAGTAGTCAGAGGCTTTCAAAGCTCCGAAGGATCGTCCAGTGGCAGAGCAAGCGTGTGGGTGGAGTGTGGGCGGGTGTGTGGCACAGCTCCATGTCACTAGCCCAAAACAACGGAGGCCCTGACTCCACAGGTGCAAGGCCACTGTTCCCAGGTACCACGGTCCCTCCCCAGGGAACCCCCCATCCCTTCCCCTACTGCCAGACAAGGCTACTCACCATCACCTTCTTCCTCTTCCTCCCCACCTTCTTTCTCTTCTTCATCTACCTCATTGTCAGCCTCTTGCTCCCCATTTTCCTCGTTCTCCTCGACAGAACACACACCCAGCAGTTAACCAGCTGGCCCAGGGCTAGAGGGCACAGCTGTGCCCCCCACCCCCTCACCCCTCCCTCCAGGGCTGCCTGATGCTTCCAGAGCACCTAAGAGACCCTTCCAACCAAGGTCCAGTGGCAACCCTGACACCACAACTGCCCAGGGCCTCGGTCTCCTTTCCCGCCCTGGGCCAAACCCAAAATCAGATCAGGAAACACTTCTTGGCCACTCACAGCGTTCCCATTGGCAGGGGCGTCTTGTCCATTCTCTGCCTCCTCCACAACTTCCTTCTCCTTTAAGTCCTTCAAAAGGGAAAAGGGAACCAGTGAGTCTTCTGAGCAGTCCAGGGCAGGCAAAGGGGCTGAGGACTAGAGACGAAAGGCTGACGTGTGCAGCCAAAGCTAAGGGTCCCGTGTTAGTCCAGGTGTGATGGCTCACGCCTATAATCCTAGCACTCTGGGAGGCTGAGGCGGGCGGATTGCTCAAGGTCAGGCATTGGAATCAAGCCTGAGTGAGACCCGTCTCTACTAAAAATAGAAAGAAATTAATTGACCAACTAAAAATATATATACAAAAAATTAGCCGGGCATGGTGGGGCATGCCTGTAGTCCCAGCTACTCGGGAGGCTGAGGCAGGAGGATTGCTTACCCAGGATTTGAGGTTGCTGTGAGCTAGGCTAACGCCACGGCACTCACTCTAGCCTGGGCAACAAAGTGAGACTCTGTCCTCTGTTTCAAAAAAATAAAAAGCTAAGGGTCGCGTGTTACCGAGTCTGGAAGGATATCGGAGTTTGTGGTCAGATTCCCCACGATTTCCCGACCCTCAAAACACAGATACTAAACGGACCACATGGCTCCGTACTCCTCATCTTCTTAGGAAAGGATAGTGGCACCACAGCCCCAAACCGTGGGCCGGGCAGGCGAGATGGCAGACACTCCCACAAGGCGTACCAGGCCGTTTCCACCCAGGGGGCGCTCCCGCCCCACCCCTCTCGGGAGGCGGCAGGTACGCCTGTCAATCAGCCGCTGGAGGCGGCCTGGCACGGCGGGAGAACTCTGATGGGTGGACTAGCCCTGGGACGGCAGGCGCGGAGCCACCTGGCCAGCAGAGTCCAGGCCCTGGCAAGCGGGTCTCTGAAGAACCCAAACAGCGCGATCCCACATTCCTGTCCCAGGAGGACGCAACCGTTGCCTAGAATGGGTGCGCCGCAGCGACCTGCCCTATGCCCAGACCGCCACTGCCTGGACCGACGCTGTCCCACTCTCCGCCGTCCGCACAGCGCTCCGTGTCCCTCAGACTTCGCCTCGGAGCAGACCACGAAGGCAGGGCAGCTCCGAGTACCCCAAAGCCCCGTAACGTTTCAACCTGGCACACCCAAGCTGTCTGCCAACAACAAACTGAGTCCAGTGGCCCAGGTTCAGGAGCCACTCGCCAGTGAGTGGCCCTGTGCCACCTCTCACTGTGTTTCCTTCCGGCCATTCTGGCCCCCAGGCTGGGAGCCACCCAATCCAGCTGGCCATGGCAGCCAAAACCCAAGAAGTGGGTGGGGGTGGGAGGCCACAACATGCAAGCCCACAGCCACCACCTGGCAGGCCTTGTGTGGGCTCTGTGGGCACCACACAAGGAGCGCATGGCCTAGGCCCCAAAGGCAATCCTGGGCCTGGGACTTGGGGCCCGTGGGCAGTGGCTGGCCTTGCTGTCAAGTCTGACTCGGTTCGCCCGTCTTTCCGTTCCAGTGCGGATGAATGGTAGGTACCAGCCAAGGCATGTCACTCACATACACACACAAGCACTTCATTGCAGGATAGAAGAAAGCTTTACCAAGCAAAAGCCGTTCTGGGAGGAACAGTATGCTCTGGCTTGAGAGATCCTGAACATAATGAAATTTCTCCTTTTATGTTGGTTCCCCAATTTTACCATATGCTGGGAGTGGAACATTCATGATTTTCTGAAGGGTGGAGAGTTATAAGAATTGGTACACTCCGCACTTTTTGTCCCTGTATGCTGACTCCAGAACCATCATGGTGCCAGGTTTGAACAGATGAAGGGGTGCGAGCTCTCTGCGGCTTAGTTTCGTCAGAACCACATTTCCAAGGACTCTGACAAGCCGGCCTCACCGAAGAGAATAAAAATGAAAAAGCTAACACGGCCACTCCACACCTGTTTCTATTATCAGCTGACAAGCCATAACTATTCTTTTTTTTACCTCCTAATAAAACCACAAACCCTTATCCCAGTGCTTCTCCTCCTTCTCGCATGGTCGCACCCCTTCCCACACTTTGGGAAGTAAACTTCTTTTCTGTAAAATATTCTAATTTTAAGTAAAATAAACCTTTACTTAAAAACTATCCTAAATCTTTATGTTGAGAAATCTTTTCCACCCACCCATACAAATGCACACTCTACGTTTTGGTGGCTGACCAGGGACTTCATTTTTTTATCCCTGGTACATGGAAGTTAAGTCCCTTCTCCTGGCTCCATACAAAAAGCTCACTATTCTGCTTCTGTCTGAGGCTGCTCCTTCCCCCGTTCATTCTCATGGTCTCATTCAGAATTTGGGGCCTATTGGTCTCTGGAAAGCGAAGCGAACCAAATTAAAGTAAGTGGTAAGCTTTGTCTAGGTTTGGTCTAAAAGGGAACCCAGTGCCTGACACTATAGGGGTCGCGGTAAGGTATGCTTGCTAACCGCCTTTCCCGTGGGGGCTTTGGAGGGCCTTATGCCTCCTCACCGCCTTATCGGCCTTCACCCAGACCAGGGATGCCTGGCTATGGGAAGAACTGGGGTCTGGTCAGAGTCAGGGACGCCTGTTTCTGGCCAGATCTTCTAGGTTCCAGTCCTGAAACTCAAAGAGTCAGGGACGCCCGATGTTTCTGAGCAGAGGCTCCCAAAAGTCATCTGAGTCAGGACACCCCCTCAGTACCTTTTTATATTCCACATACTGAGCCATCTCTAAAAGTCCTTTTCTTTTTTTTGGGCACAGTCAGCTCCATCCTAAAGAACGCCGCACCCTGAGGTGTAAATAAATAGCCAAGAGATTTGCCCCAAAAGAAGGGATTCTTAATCATACTAACTATTCTGCCACTTCAATCCTTCTATTGGCGGCTGGCTTGGCAGGCTCTGAATCCTCTACTTTCCAGGCTTTCCCTTGAACTTGCTAAACTTCCTGATCTTCATTCTGCCTGCAACATGTCACTTCCTTACTCTTGACATCTCATCCCACCTGTCTTACGTTCTCCAGATGACTTTTCCTTTCAGCCTTCCCTCCTGCTTCTTCTCCATCACACTCTCGCTGGCTGCCAGCTCCCTCTGGCCGGCTGTTCCAAACGCCTTCCACCCACGCGCGTGTAAACTAGTTCCTCTCCAGGAGGTTGAACTGGTCTCACAGAGCATTGTAAATTAACCAGAGCCGCAAAGATAAATCCAGCCTTTATCTGTCATGAGTGAGCCACTTGCTTTACATTTAGATCCTGACACCAGAGAGGGACAATCCTACATATACTTCATCTCCGCAGTTCAATGCGATATTTGGCAAAAATGCCAAAACTTGAAAGGACCCTACCTGTTTCATAAGTGGAACGTTTAAAACACTGGTCTTCAAGGTCTTGATAACAGAGATAAAAGGAGGAAAAGAGAAATGCGGGACCACAAGTGGGCCCCGAGAGCAGAAAGAAGTTTGCCGATGGTGGCTACCACGTTAGAAAGAGCTTTTCAGACAACGATTATCCCTGGGCTCAGATAAGAAGACGCTCAGACCATTGCTCTTCTCTGGGACTAAGGGCTGCTTTTGCTGGCAAACCAGCCTAGGCCCCTGGAGTAAGCCGTGCACAGAAGGCCTCCCGCCCCGACCAAACCCTGGCCCTCCTCCTGCCCAAACGGAGGGGCGCTGGAAGCGGGAGTGCTCTCCCTTAGAGAACAGGGACCGCTCCACCTTCCCGGAACCGATGCGGCCTGAGCCGACATCACCACACCACCATGTCTTCTGGGTGCTCAGTCTAACGCACAGACCCCCGGCTTCACAACCAACTTCACTGCACAACATCTGAGATGGCCGAGCGCTTGAGTAACACTCTCCTTGTCCACAGGTAAGCGCAGACAACTGATTTTTAATAGACACCAGGCGACTAACTTTACTCTTCCTGCATTTTCAGGGCTCCTATTTCCTACCCCTACCCTCTCCCATCAAATGGGAAGCAAAATGCAAACCTAATGTACCTCTACAGCCCGCTTTGGTCCACCCTCTTTTTAATGCTTCCAATTATCCCTCTCACTAAAAGATCCGTGGTTCAGTTAAACAACCAACTCCCTTTAACACCCTCCTCGGGCCTTCCTTTCTCGGCTTCCCTTTTCTCCAGCGCTGCGTGGAAAAACAATTGACTGAGACTTTAACTAACCTTCTTTTTCTTTACTAGGCTAATTCCTAACTCTATGCTTTCAAATATAATTTAGGGGAAAGTAAAGCAGGATAGGGTGAACTAGTAAAGTGGAGTCGGGGAGATGCAGAAATGCAACGCATGTAGAAGCATACTTTTGGTAAGAAAGGTTAACAGCCGGGCAACAGGCCGGCGCAGTGCTACTCTGTATCCTAGCAGCTCTGCGAGGCCGAGGTCGGGCGGATTAACTCGAGGTCAGGATTCGAAAACAGCCTGAGCTAAGAGCGAGACTCCATCTCTACTATAAACAGAAAGAAATGAATTGGCCAAAACAGATAATAAAAAAATAAATAAAAATATATAATAGCCGGGCTGGTGGCAAGATATAAATAAAGGCAGCAAGGAATACTTGACCAGAGTGTGAGTGATGTGAGGCTAGGCTGCTCCACGGCAGCTCATAAGCCGGGGAAGGAGCACAAGCGGCAATCTGTCTCCAAAAAAGGTTAAACAAACAGAACTTAAAGTATGTCTGTCAGTCGTCGCATAAACAAGAGCAATTGA